TCAGCCTTGGTCCCACAGGCTCTGAAGCTGGGGATCCAGCCCCCTCCAGACCGGGGCTAACTCGTGGCTGCCCTTATCATCCCAGCCCCTCGAGAGGCTGACTGAGGCAAAAGGATCACTTGAGCCAGGAGCTCAGGACCAGTCCAGGCAACACAGCAAGACACTATTTCGAAAGATTTTTTTTAACCAAAAAATAAAAAGTTTGATAAGAAAAGTTATGGATGTACACGAGTCTTCCATCCATTAGGCAGCCAGCTCTGGTGCAGAGTGGGGTGGGGGTGCACACTGTGGCTGTTCTAGTTTATGCTCTTTTGTGTGCTTTGAGGTTGCCAGGGGTATGAGCTGGGACATTCCAGCCTCACCATGGCTTCAACTCAGGAACCACCAAACATGGGAGGGGCTGTGACACCACCCCACCATTAATGGGGACCGGTTCCAACTCTGCCCAGCCTGGGGAGGGGTCAGTATTCCCCGGACACTGAGACTCACCATCCTCTATGGCCCACACTGGAAAGGAGAGGGAGGGTGAGGCCAGTCCTCCTGGTAACTAAACAATGAGTATGGTTCCGCCCAGCCACCAGATCCAGGTCCAGACAGGATGTGGGATGGTGGGTGCCAGGGGCCAGGGAGGGGACAGATTGGTGTCTAGTGGAGACAGTGTCAGTTTGGAAGGATGGAGAAGCTCTGGAGGTGGGTGATGGGACAGCAACAGGACCCTTGATGGGTTTCAAGCCACTGACCTGCACCTTGAAAAAACAGTTGAAGTGGTAAGTTATGTTACATGTACTTTTCCACAATTAGGGTAACAGAGAGGAGAAAGAGCTGGCCCTGTATGAGGCAGAGGCTGTCACAGAGAGCAGAAAGGATGCCCTGGAATTGCTGAGATGGAACTGCCCCCACTCCAGCTCCCACGAGGAAAAAGCTTATATTATGGTGGAATGTTCTAGGTCTTCGGTTCGAGGGCAGAGCAGAGGCAAGACTTTGGTTTCCTTCTAGCCCCCTTCCCTTGCACCGCCCTGAGATGACAGTCTTGGCTGCATGAGTTCTGGGGCCCTCTGCGTAATCTTTTCTGGGAGATGACTGACAGTCCCACATGCAGGGTGGGTATGAGAGATGCTTGAGGTTGGATGGTAGTTGGCAGACACAGCACACCACATGGCACTGTCCCTCCATTGGCAAAATACGGTCTCTATCACCGTGGTAATGTTGATGGTGCGGTGGAAGCTTCTGGAGGGAAGCAGCTGGTCTCCTGGCTGAGCTGAGCTGCCAGGGGTGTGTCAACTTGTCACAGCAGACAGACTGGGGTGTCTAGCACCACCTATCACCCTGCCCCAGGGGACAGAGAGGAGTCCTGGACCAGTAGGAGCACTTTTGGCCCCGTGGCAGGCTGGCTTCATAGGCTGTGGGGCAGGTTGTGGGTGACCAAGCATGCTGGTCCCCAGTCACCTGTGTGGCAGCCACTGGCCTTGCTTGAATCCTGCTCAGCCCTCCATTCTGCAGGGTCCCTCCTGTCCCTATGCCTCCCCTCCATCTCCCTCTCCTCTCTGACTCTCTCTGATCTCAGTCTTTCTGCAGTCCCACCACCCACACCCCCTCAGCGCACTCCCTTATCTGGGTCCCGCACAATCCAGGGAGCCCATCCCCATGACAACAGGGCAGATGGCCCTGTGATAGTGCCTCTCCCTCCCACCATGGCTCAATCCGTCTTTGAAATTAAATCAGCTGTGATAACATCAAGGGCCAGAGGGAGGGGAGGCTGCCTGTGCCCCACCCACCCGGCTTGCTCAGGAGAGGGGATATCAGGGGGCAGAGCAGCTCAAAGTGTGGTCATGTGACCTTGGCCCCCGTCTCTTGCCCCTGGAGCCTCAGTCTCTCCATCTATAAAACAGGCTGATCATATTTATTGCTTAGGTCAGTGGAAAGCTTGGGAACAATGGGCAAGCCTGATGCCCTTCAGCCCACACAGACCCTTAGCCCTCTAAAAGCCTACCTAGCCAGGCCTTGGGACACAGAGAGACCAGCTTCCCAGAGTAGAGGCTGCAGATTGTTCTCATGGGCCTCACTGCCAAGGCCATGGTATCCTGCGTGTAACGTACTCTACGATACCACGTCGGTGTTGTGTATTCTCTCCAGCAGGGTTGGGCCTTTTTGGACAATCAGAACCCCGGTAGGACACAGCGGTTGGGGAGTGACGAGTAGAGAGAGCCTGAAAGGGCCTTTGAGACTGGAAAAGCTGGATGGATGAATTGAAGTCGAGAGTCCAAACAGGGTATACTGTACAGAAGCTAGGAAGCAGGAGAGAGCAGAGGACTGAGGCAGGGCTGCAGGGGACCTAGGGAGGATGGGGGCTGTGACAGAGGGCACAGCTGATGCAAATGTCCTGAGGCAGGAGTGTGCTGGGTGCATGCAGTGAGGAGGCTGGTGAGGCTGGAGCAAAGCAAAGGAGGGTTATGGGGCAGGTGACCTGTGGCCCTACAGGGATGGTGAGGGATGAGGGGTGATGGCTTCTACCAGTGAGCATCTCAAAATGCCCTTGACTTTCACTTCCAGGTTTTTAGGAACTCCTCTGGCTACGGGGTGAGATAAACAAACAGGACAGGGGAAAGTGGGCTGTCCAGGTAGACTGGATGGGAAGCAGCTGGGAGCAGCCGGGTAAAGTTATACATCATTCCCAGATCCTGATGCACCACAGGGCAGGGCAGGCAGGGTCCATGGTTGGCTAGTCTCCACATGAGCCCCTTTCAGAGAGGTAAGACTCGGGTCGGGCATGGGCAGCCAGGCCCCACTCTAGACTCAGAAGGGCTCTAGGAGACATTTATCTTGGGCAGAATGCCCTGCCCAGAGGGGCTTGCTGAGGCCACCTGGGAGAATACAGAGAGTGGGCTTTTTAGGAGGAATTTAGTGAGCCAGAAAGAGACTAGCAGGCCTTACTTCCCACACAGGTGAGCCTTGAAATGGGATTCTCACAGAAGATCCAAAATGGACACTGCCCATGGCTCTCAGGAAGCGTGACCCAGCAGAGGGGACAGTGTGATGCCAAGCAATGCCATGGGGAGAAGGAAGGGCCCTGAACTAGTTTAAGATTCTGGTCTATTTCCCTGAGTATCCCTCTGCCCTGTGGTATCCCACCAGGTCCCACAGCCTGCAGGGCCTCAGACCTCCCATTTGCAGAATGGGCAAAAATGTTGTTGCTGGGACCCAGGGTTGAGGACTCGAAGCTGTCCTGGGGGAGAGTTGGGAGTACCCTATCATGTCTGTGGTGGAAAGAGGACACAAGGTGAGACTCAGGAAGCAGACAGTCAGTGGTCCCTGGCACCAGGATTCTTTGGATACTGGAATCCCTGAGTCTGGCAAGCTCCCAGATTTCCTCTGGGCACCCAACTGGAGTGTGTGGCTGTTTGGGGCTGCTAGGCTGTAATTGGATTTGCCCAGCAGCTGTCTGCCTAAGCAGGCCCACTTGAGGCAGCCGTAGCTGGTCAGTGATCGGGGACATTAGCAGGTCAACAGGGGCAGAGGTCAGGTGGTTGGTACCATGGGGACTTAGATAAAGTTAGTCCCCAAGCAAGGGACTTGGGCTCTGCCTTCTGTGTGCCCCAGCTCCCTTGCCCTAACAGTAACGTGGTTAGCGGTGTCCAGCTGCCAGCGGCTGAGGACCTCTGAGGTGTATTCCAGGGAACCGGAGTCCAGGTCAGGCCTCAGGGTCAACAGCTTCTGGCCACCACACCCGCAGCCCTTGGCTGGCCCTGGATATCTTGGGGTGATACCTAGCTTCCTAGAACAGGAAGAAGACTCCTTGGCCCACCTCTCAGTGGCCTGAACCCCTACCCAAACGGTCCTCTTCCTAGTATTGTGTGGAGACATGGGGACAAGGTCTTCCCTGGTTCCCTCAGTTAACCAGGCTCCCTTAAGGCCTCCTGGCCCCCTGTCACTTCTCCCTCATGAGCACCAGAACACCCCTTTGGCCTGTTGTCCCCCAGAACTTTGAAATTTACCTCCTTCCTCTCCACACCGCAGGCTGGGCCCCTTCCGAAGCTGGAGTTTCCACGGGAGCAGTGTCTGCTCAGCTCATCCGCTCTGTGCCCATAGCATCTGTCCCTTGCCTGAGCGCTACACTCTGTCACTGGCCAGCGTGAGCCCTGGAGTCCGTAGTGGTTGCTACAGCCCCCAGGAAGCAAGCACCGGCCAGTGAGCCCCTGCCATTGCCCTCCCTGCGGGAATAATCCCCATGGACACCGTTAAAGGCTGGTCCCTCCGCGCTGACACCCAGGATGGAGCGCCGGCTCAGCTGCCTGTCAGTTGTGTAGCCTTTCCCTTTATCTCAGTTTTCTCTTCCATGATATGGAGTTGAGAGCCCCGATATGTGAAAGTTGGGGGTGTTCCACGAAGTTGCTTATACTCCCTTCACTTGCCTCCTGTTCTTCCAACAGGGCAGCCTGTCCCTGGCCAGGTGCTTTTCACATGCTGTTCCCACCACCCAGAATGTTCTTCTTGAGTGTCAACGCCCCCGAAGATCTTTCCAGGAGACCTGACCCCAACACCCCGTGCCCAGAGCAGGGGTAGGGAAGGTTGAAAGCAGTGTAGGAAAGAGAGACACGTGGTTCTGGCATGGCTGCTCCTCCTTAAGTGAGTAAGTTAAAGTGGGAATTGAGCAGGGGCGCCTGTGAGGATGGTGGCCATCCTGGAGAAGGGACATGGAAAGAGCAGGTGAGACAGGACATGAGGAGGACAGGAAGAGGCAGGTGACAGAGATTAACCGCCACCTGAAGACCTGGCCCCAGGCTTCCTGTGGGAAACAGCTGGTGCTGGGCATGGAGGCCACAAGCTCCTGAGTGTGGCTGTAGCATTGTGGCAGCCACACAGTGGGCCTACAATGACACAGCCACCCCTGAGGATGGAAGCGGTATCTACATGAACTCACTTAGCATATTTATTAAGCACTAGTTTGCGACTACTGTAGCCCCCTCTGATGGTAACTGGCCCAGGGTCTGGCTGGGTGGCTCTCACTTGGTGTCCACCCGCATCAGCTTCTCCTTGCCGTTGACAGTTACCGACCGGAGCTGTCCATCCTCCTCCACCTCCACCCGCTCCTGGCCGTTCTCAACAATGCGCTTGGTGGTCACCTTGCGGCCGTTCACCATCTCCGTGGATGACATCACTGACTTGAACCCCGAGTTGCCTGAACTGGAGCCACCGATGGAAGTGGACGAGAAGGTGGCGCGGCTGCCCCCACCACGGCCCAGGGTATCGAAGCACGAGAAGGCCTCCATGAAGGCTGGCAACTCACCGAAGCCCGAGGAGAAGGCCCCACGTAAACCGTAGGACCGGCCACGGTCGCTGAACGGGGTGTCCCAGAAGTCAAAGGAGAAAGGGTCCGCTCCCCCAAAGAACTCACGGAAGATATCCTCAGGATTGCGGAAGGGATAGCCAGCACCGAAGGGACTGCCGTGGGGCACGTTGCCGCCACCGCCGCCGGCCCGCCAGCTGTCACAGCCTGCCCGGTCGTACACAGAGCGCTTTTTACAGTCTGACAGGACCTCGTAGGCCTCAGACACCTGCTTGAACTTCTTCTCAGCCTCCTCCTTGTTGTCAGGGTTCTTGTCGGGGTGCCAACGCAAAGCCAGCTTTCGATACGCCTTCTTGATGTCCTCGGGGGAGGCACTGGACTGTACACCTAACACTTCATAGTAGTTGGCCATGGTAAGAGTGGAGGGGTCTAGACCGGATGAGGAGGGCTGAGGAGGGCTGAGGAGGGCTGAGGTCCTCCCTTGGGTGGGGGACTTGCTGGAATCTGCTGGCCCTGGGTGGCGAGAATTTAGCTTTTCATCCTCTCGGTTCTAAGGGACAGGTGGAGCCTCCACTGAGAGGGGTTGGGGGTAGGGACAGTGCCGCTCTGGGCTAGGCCCAGGTGGCCCCTTCCAAGCTGGGGCCAGGGCCCTTTGTGACATAATCACTGAGCAGCAAGTCCCCCACCCCCTCAGCCAAGCTCTACCCATCACAGGGCTGTGGGGGGCGGCGGACCACTGTGGAAGACCTGGAGGTGAGTCTGGCTACACGGAGGCTGTTTGCTGGCTTCCCTGGGAAGCCAAGGAGGAAAGGCAGGTCCGCTGTGGGATTGGGTCAGTGACACCATAGTTAGATGGCAGTGGTCGAGAAGAGCGAGGACTTCCTGGGATCTGTCCTCTGAGCCGAGTCTGGGTGGCTGCGATGGGTTGAAGAAGCCCCGAGCAGCGTGGGGTAGATAGGGACAGTGATCTATTATATGTGTGGCCTGTTATCTCTAGATTCTCAGAGACATCAGGAAGGCAGGCGTGTTTGTCAGCAGCTGAGACAGATCCAGCCCACAGCGCGCCATCAGCCAAGATTTGTTTAATGAATGAGGCTCAGAGACATACAGCAACAGCTCAGGGTCACACAGCAAATCTGTGAGAGAGAAGGACACTGGAACTAGGGCCATCTGGGCTGTGGTGGCCAGCAGGAAGAAGATACATTCTGCTTAACTCAGGTATAAGTTAATCAGGTCTCATACATGGGAGAAAAAATGTGGAAACAGCTCACCCTAGACCTGGAAGACATTTGTCCTCGGGAGTAGGCAGTGTGAAGGTGGTGGCAGACCCTGAGGGACACAGCTACAAGGAAATGGTGCAGCGTGGGGGCATGGCCCGATGGGATGCTAATGGAGAAGAGGTCTCTGTGGTGTCACTGGTGCTGCTGTCACAGGCTTGGGCTCTGCTATCAGGTCCCATTTGGAGTACCAGCATTGACTTCTCCCTGTCCACCTTGTCCAGACAGAAGCCGCAGACGCAGCTCCTCAGAGTGTCAATAACAGGGACTGGGCTTCCCAGACTTCTGAGATGCCGTTCTTCCTCCTCCTTCCCCTCCTCCCTCCCCTTCCTCCCTTCCTTCCTCCTCCTCCTCCCTTCTTCCTCTGCACCTTTAAGTCTGTCTCCATTATCCTCCCTCTCATCTTCTCATCTCCCAGGGCTCCTGGGCTCTCGGTTGCAGACACCTTGCAGGGGACATCATTCTCTTGAGTCCCACAGGCCAGGAAGGACAATAGATTCTGGAGACACTTCAGGTAGCTGTCACCATCCCTCACATTTCATCTCACTAAGAGCAGGACAGGCTCCATGCTCCACACCAGTCCTCACTCACTACCCCAGGCTCCTGCTTGAAAGTGGCTGCATCCCTGCATCCATCCATCGCGGTAGTGATGGTAACAGCCGTGTCAGTGATGGAGATGATGGGAGGAGCAGGAGGTGACAGAGGCCCTGGGGACGGGAGTGGCGACTGTGACACTCCTATGAAGGTGGCAAGGCGTGGAAGCCACATGTGGCTCAGCTAAGGTGCAGCGCCACACTCAGTAGTCACACACACTCAGGGTGTGCCTGCCTCATCTGCCCACCCTGTAGGAGCCGCTGGGGCTCTGTCTCCCAGGCCTCGTCAGTGGGGCCCCAGAAGAGAAGCTGTTCTGGTCTGAATTTGCCAGGTGTGTGGCAGAGAGGCTGGGGAAGCCAGGCACCAGGAGTCACTGCAGTCCTCCGGTGGTGTGTGGTGGACAGTCCTCGCCCACCTCTCGGTGAAGGCTGGTGTCTGCTGGGCGGGAAAGGCCCTCCTCCTCCATGATTATGCAAGTCCCAAGGCAACTGCTGGAGAGACAGGAGACTGCTGGGCAGGGGGAAGGAGGAAGCAGCTCTCTGCCAAGCTCTAGGTGGTCACAGCGGATGATGGGTGACCCTAAGGAGGAAGTAATGTTGGAGGTGGTACTGTGGTGATGGAGGAGGTGGTGGCGACGGAGGAGGTAGTGGTAGCGGTAGAGACGGTGGGGCTGGTGATGAGGGAGGTGGTGGTGACGGTGATAGCAATGGTGTGATGGAGGAGGAAGTGATGGTGGTGGTGGTGATTACGGTAATGATGGAGGTGATGTTGACGATGATGGAGGATATGGCGGTGGTGAATCTGGGTTGAAATGATAGAGGTGGTAGTGATGTCACTGTGGTGATCATGGGGAAGGCAATGATGGTGGCACCATCAGAGGTGATGATGTCAGAGGGTGGTCCTGGCAACGGGGACGCTGATGGAGGTAGAGGCAGCGGTGGTAACAGAGGGGCATGATAGTGCAGAGGGTGTCGATGATGCGGACTGGGACGGAGAAGGAAGGCATGACAAGGTGTTCATGGTGATGCTGATACCAGGTAGGTGCTGGTGTAGTCTGAGGTTCCCACAACGGTGTCACCAGGGTGGTAGTGTGCTTACAGTCCTGAGTTCAAGGGATTCAGGGTGATGATGGGTCCTGAAATCTGGTCATCCCCTGCGGCCCCAGCCAGGCACCTCTCCTGTCTCGCTGGCGTCTCTGGTGCTGTCTTAATCGTCTCCCAGGAGGAACCTCTGGCTTCTGCTGACTAGCTCAGCTTCCTTGCCCTCTTCCTCCAAATGGAGCCTATCTGTCCAAGTGAGACAACATGGAGGCCCCAACACCACTCAGGCTCAGGGATCGTCCAAGACAGAGAACACTTTCAATGACTTAGGGCGTCAGCACATGCAGGGCCTCTCAGGGCCGAAGGGACCTTGACAGTGGAGACCCCCTGGATGGGCCGAGAAGGAAGATACAGAACTTAGAACTGGACAGCCACTTGGTGGCAGCATGCCGAGGTGACTTCCCCTTCTACAGAGTTCTACGAACCAATGTCCTGTGAGGTCCCCAAGCCTGAAGTGTTTGGGGGGTCCCAGTGGAGGAGCAGAGGGACAGAGCATGGTGCACAGGCAAGAACACTAGCCAGCCCCTGAGCTCCTGATTCCACGACTGTTAGGCCATTTCCATTTTGTAAATTTCTGTCCTCATTTACTAGTGGGATGATGAGACACCCCCCTCTCCCCTTCTCTGGGGGGTCAGCCTCTTATGCCTCAAGACCATAGTCTCAGAAAGGACTCTGGGAAGAGAAAGGAGATCAGATGATTAGATGATCTCAGCAGAGCCCAGCTCAGTACAGAAGCAGGCCCAGAGACGGCAGGGCATACCCAAGGTCACACAGCAGCCCCAGAAAGCCCTCCCCAGGCAAGCTGATGGAGGCTGATTAGGCAGCCAGAGGCCCCTCTGTCTCTCTAATTAATGGAGTGGCTTTTTAAAAGGATTCTAATCACCCCGATGCTATCTGCTTATCGCCAGAGTGCCTAATTAGATGGTCCTGGCAGGAACTTGCCTAATTCCCTCCAGCCTCTGCCCCTTGCCCAGGGGGGCAGCCCACCCACCCATCCTCCCCACCAGATGGGCAGCTGTGGGGCCTCCTCTCCTCTCAGGGCCTGAGGTGGCCAACTCCATTTCCTTCAGGATGGATGGGTGACAGGAATGGATGGATGGGCTGCTGGATTGACAGTGACAGGTGAGTGATGGCACTGGGTGGCAGGCAGCTTTGAGGAAAGGATGAGCAGATAGACTGAGGGATAAGATCATATAGTGACTAAGGGTGTAAACTGCCAAGTCAGATGACCTGGGTTCGAATCTCAGCTCTGTCACTTCATAGCTGTGTGTTCTTGGGGAAGTTGCTTAACTGCTGTGACTCAGTTTCCTCATTCCACCTGTAAAATAGGGATAATAACTCTTCTCCCAGGGGTGTTTGGCAGTGACTGGGGAGGGCTGCTGCTAGCATCCCTGTTCCAGGTAGCCATACCACCCTCCACACAGTGACTGAGCCCAATGTCAGTGGCAGCAAGGTTGAGAACTTGTTCCGAGCCCTGGACTAGCCCTAGCTGTTAAACACAGTTCTGCACTGTCAGACTGTGCCAGGGTAATACTGTCTTCACTGCAGGACCTGGGGGGTGACTTGTTTCTCAGTGAAGCAAAGACTGGAAATGTGAGTGACTCCAGCAGAGGGGCCAGAACAGGTGCCTGAAGAGACCAGGGGCCTCAGAGGCTGAGAGCGGGGCTCAGGCCAGGTCTAAGCATGGAGAGTGTACTGAGATGGGAGGCCTTGGAAAGAGTTGGAACAGGAGGAGGGTTGTAGGTTTCAGGAGGATCTCTGTAACAATAGTACTGAGTATGATACCCACCAAGTAGCAAATATGTAAAGTCTGGGCATTACAAGTGTCCATGGAACTAGGGCATCTGGTGTCACCATTCTTTACTGGTTAATATGAAGCAAAATGACAAGGTGGGAAAATCTTGAATTTACAGATTCAAGTATATGAAGAGCCTTATCTCAGTAAGCCTCTGGACTTTTACCCCAGAGGAACTTTCACACGGGGCGTGGAGACATCAGCATCCTTGCTGCCCTGTATATAGCAGTAAATAGAACAGATGGATTAATTGATTTTATGTATGTGTACGAGGTGTTTGCCTACATGTGTGTCTGTGCACCGTGTGTATGGTGCCTGTGGAAGCCAGAAAAGGGTGTTGGATTCCCTAGACTGGAGTTACAGATGGTTGTGAACCACCACGTAGGCACTGGAAATCAAACCTGGGTCCTCTTCAATGAGCACCCAGTGCTCTTCACCACTGCACCATCTCTCCAGCTCACCCACTTAAGCATCTTAAGGAAAATGAGCAAATATACCACATGAACTTTATACTATGAACTATTATATCACAACAAAAATGAATGAACCAGAACTTTACATATTAATGTGAATAAATATCTCAAATGTGATGGTAAGCGAGAAAAGAATTTTCTTTTAGTATATAGTGCTGCAATCACAACATTCCCCTTACC